TATATATATATATGTATATGTATGTATTAAATGGAGTCACATTTCTTCTCTTCCTCTCCCAGTTTTCGTCTGCTCAGAGAACCGGCTCACATATCGTAAATGCCACATCCATACTCTTCAACGTCCTGTGTCTCCTGGGCTCAATCTACATACTTTTCCTGTCGTGGCGAGGTCTGCGCCGCTACAGCTCCCCCCAGATCCAGGCCTACTGTCAAGTCTCGCAGGTATACACACAGTTTAGTACAGTGTTTCCCGCAGTTGGGGTCAGGACCACACTGTGCAGGGCCGGCCCCAGCCAATTTGGCCCCCTAAGCAAGATGTGCAAATTTTTTTTAAATCTCACTGCCAATTTTTACACGCTCACAGACCAAATTAAATAGGTGTAACAAATATAGTAACAAACTCATGTAATTTTCATGTAAAGCAGGCCCAGAAACCCACATAACTTGTTGCCTTCATAAACCTGAGTAATCAGTGACTTTTCTACGGACTAAATCAACTATACTCTGATTAAAAAGTTATAAAAAAAACTTTTTCATACCAGTTTGTGGTGCCCTTAGATGGATAGCCCTTTGTATTAGCCTATACTGCCTGTGCCATGGACCAGAAACATTAAGGAGGGGTCAGAATTAAATACATTTCAAAATGACTACTAAGAACTTTTTTTTGGCCTTAATAACAAAAGAGTGAGGTTGGTTTGTTTAAAAATAAATGAAATTAGTATAATGAATATTGTTACTATATGTTTGTAAATTTGACCTGAAAACAATGTTTATCACCCAAAAATAGTTGGGGGCAAAGGTCTCTGATTCTATTATTTTGTGGGTCAAAAGCTGAAAAGTTTGGGAACCACCTGATTGGGCCTGTTAGTGGAAAAATGCAAAAATCTTAATTAAGCAAAGAATGAACTGTTATTAAAATACGGGTCTCGAAATACTCAAATTATATATTTATTTATTTGTATTTAAATGGTTCAGTAATGTATCAAAATACAGAAAGTTTAAACACTAACAACTGCATTTTGCATCTTGTCGTTTCCTGTTTCAGCTCAAAGACATTCAGATTATCTGCTGTCCTTGTAACTCCAAGTTGTCTGCTGCAGAAGCAAAAACATCCTGAATGTTAAAACACTGATTAGATTGAAGATGTATTGAAAGAATGTGTTTTTTTATTTTTTTAAAGCAACTTCGTTTGTCAAAAGTACTTTTAATAATAATAAAAAAACATTAAAATCATTTATAGGTCATTTTATTAGAATAAAACAGAGATGGGTGTTTAAAGGTTTACTGATCAAAAACTGCTGGATTAAAAAAAGCTTTTAATGTATGTTTTTACAGGATCCTGAGGACACTAATGGGCTTCTGCTGGAACAGGAAGTGAATTGTGAAACCTAATGACATGAAAACTCTTTGGATAACTCCCACTTACATATCATCTGAAAACAAAACTACTACTGTTGACAGAGACACTAAGGACTAGTTGTGCAACCCTGATATAAAAATGGAAGAAATCTTATCATGCCTCTAGGACAGAAGACTCTGCATCACTATTTCCCAAGAATCACAAATTCCCAAAGGGCAACAAGAAGCCACAGCAAGAACAGCTTGCAAACAAACAACCTAAAGCCACAATAACCATGAAAGCTTCATTCTTAAAATAAAATTGACAAGTTTATGATATCAAATGTCAGAAAATCTTGATGGTGTAATGGTTGATTTATTTTATTTTATTTTTTGGAAAATGTTTCACATTATTTGCTTTCCTTTTCATTTCCTTAGATGTTGCTTTTAATGGACACTAGAGGGCAGCATTGTCAAACCTTGTTCAAGACGTAGTAGTTTTGTTCTTAAATCAAATCCCTCTGTTTAAAGCTGGACTTCATTCTAATTTATTGAGGAGGTGGAACTTTTATGACTTGACGAGTATGATATATATACTATATTTTATATCTGTAATCTAAATGTCATTGAGTGTAAATAAAACCTTAGAAATGAAGCTCAGTTCTGTTCAAATCCTTCATGAACAAATGAGATTGATGGCATCTTCACCAAACTTGGACAAATCTTTAAACCTGTCCTACTTTTAGAATATAAAATAAATCTGAACACTTCATTAACATTTCCCCAGTGATTTGTGAGATATTTTGCTAACAGACACTCAAACACAAGCAGGAACATTATCATCTAACTTTGGTGGCGAGCAATAATTAAACAAGATCGTACAGCTGTGTTGCAAACAGACATATGAACAAAGCAACAGGCTAACAGACTTGAACAAGTGAAAAAGAACAAAAAACCCAGAGTGCAGCAACTTTCTCACGGCATGTCGGGCTAACAGCTTCCAGCTGTTGGCTGGTTGGGAGAGCTGCTATGGGAACACATGAAGAACAAAGAGGAACATGATATTAATTCAGAAAAGGCCAAAGAACTGTAGAACAAACCAAAACTGCATGATGAGGATTAGTGTCCTCTCAGACACAGACTTAAGACTATTTAGATAAAAAGGCATAAAATCTCTCCTGTTGTGTACTTTTGTCTGTCACCCCACTTTCAGGGTACGTGGTAGGAGGTCAGATTTCCATAAATGCTGCTAGTATTACAAGGCAGGAATTGAAGTTGCTGAGCGAGGAAACACAAGCTAAAAAAAACAAAATAGGTTGAAAAGCTGGTTTTAAGCTTGTGAACTGTTGAGTCACTTCTTTCATGTTTGGATTGTTCATTCCTTTAACTCCAGAGGAAATCCTCTTTCCTTTGACTTGGACTGACGGGATGTGATGACACGAGAGTGAGTGTGTCTGGAGGAGCGGGAGTGGTGATTACATGTTATGATTCCTCGTGATGAGTCCGACACGGTGACCCTTAACCTGAATGACTAACGGGTTTTACCCCACCTCCCCTTCACCAGGCAGCTGCTAAGAAGTGAGGAAAAAGAAGAAGAACAAAGGCAAGACAAAGGCACCGTCTTGAGAACATTCATCAATAATTTATTTTTCTTACTCTCAAGAACCAGCACGGCTTCTCATCTTGAAAGTTCATCAGTAATTTCCAACAACACAGTTTTGCAAAATGTAAAGTTACTATACAAATTCTTAATAGAAAAAAAAAAGAATAAATTAACTGCGGGGTTCCGATTCTTTTAATCAACTCCGCATTTTTTTAAATTTGTTTTTCTACAACGCATTTTAATGTTTAGTTACAGCTGARGAGAACTGAGAAAATCAAGTTACATGCTCTATTGTCTGGCTGAGGAAGTGATCGACTGTTGGGACTGTTAAAATAAGCTTCATTTTGCACATCTGATACTGAACCTATTGAATGAAGAAATGTCAATGCAGTTACTGGTCATTTTGTAGCACCTCATTAGGGTTGTTTTAAATATTGGAGCTAAAAGAAAAGACAATACTGGTCCATATAAAATGTAGTGTTGTTAAAACAACAAACGTGTTACCTTCTGTACAAACAGGAAAAAAAACTGATAAAATAGGTACCTCCTTTCTCCCGGAGTATTACTAAAAATCCTCATCTTGGAAAGGGAAAGTGCTGCGTGAGACTACAGAGGAACATCACTCTTGTTCACAACGGTCTCAAAGGTCAGAGATTAGAGCTAGGGCAGAGAATTAGGTGGCAGAGCACACTTTGGAGCAAAGAGAACTGATTTCAGCAGGAAAAAGTTGGAGGTTGTGCTGTCTTTGGGTCATTTGTCAGAGGATTTGCAGGGCATGCATGGGATTGGAAGTTCAAGACAGAAATGCACAAAAACACTTAAGCTTGAAAAGCAATCATGATGAAATCCAATCAGATAGAACCCAGTGATTGCTGGTTCCAGTCTTGCATATTTTTCTTTATCAAAACTAACCAAGGATGAATGATACATGCAACCAAAACTATACCTTTTTCTTTTGGAACACAACGTAGAAACAACTTACGGCAAAGAAAACATCTGTTAATGGCGGACAGGGTGAGATTTGTCTCTGTTCATCCAGTCCTAATCAGATTTCAAATTGTCTGTCAAAGCAATTTTGAATTTATTACTTGAATAATTACAAACAGATGAAAAAAGAATGGTTAAGACTTTAAAAACAAGAAACGGCAACAAAAAGAAACTTCTTCTTCATACAAAGTCAGGTGTGCTTTTCAAACCCTGTTCTGGATTTTTGATTGGGATGTCTGAAAAAAGTTATTTTTAGTTTCTTTTTCCTTTTTTGCCCTCGCATCAGGACTTTTTGTCAACCTGACCACGACCCCCCCAAAAAGTTACATTAACAGTTAAAAGTTTACACACTGACACAGGAACACAGAAAACTGCAGGTCCAGCCCACGAAGACACGACATGTTGTGCTTTCATATGAAACTAAATGGATTCAACTCGATGGAAAATGAAACGAACATCGTCTCCTGCTGCTTTTTAAAAAATGGCTTCTTAGACAGTCATGATTAGAAGGAGTACGTATGACTGCAATAGGTTCAGTGGTGAATTACAGTACGCTCGCAAAGCACCAAGATGTTTAGAAGTAATAATTTGGGTTCAGATGGGAAAACACAGTGCTGTAAGGGGACCGACTCAGCAAGGTAAGAACCAGAGTGGAGGGACAAACCTCCCAGCAAAAACTGTTTTTGACAGTTGCTCATCACTGAGCAGCATCAACAAGAATCTGCAAAGTATGCCCACAGATTTTTAACAGTTGTTCACTGTTAGAGATTTTTAAAAAAAAGAGATAAGATGAAATGAAAATATCTCTCACTGCAGTATCTGTGACAGGATTGACCTCCAAACAACCATGATTTATAACTGATCATTTTGGACAAATGATTTTCATTTTGTCGATGAAGTCGGCAAAAATAAAAACCTGCAGGCCGATGCCTAATCTCCAAGTTCTGCCAGTGATGTTTTCAGATCCTTCATTTCAATCATCCCAGTGCTGAGAACCGGACATGCCAGTTTCAGTTTCCCTCTGTAGATTCAAACCAGTTCGTAGCCTTGTGCAGTGTTCATTATTGCTATAGCCCTCGTCTGTGTCAGGTAATGTCCCAGAACGCCACCTGATGTCGTCACAGGGATTCGCTCACATATTGCCAACTGATGACATCTCTGCTGAGGCACCTGCCCAAAGAACCGTGACGTGACCAGTTGATCCAGCAGCCGTGTTTGGAGGTGGGTTAAACAGTGTTAAATCTGAAATCTTCTCTTTTTTTTTTAGAAATATAAATTAGGAAATTTGAAAAAAAAAAACATAAAACAGTGAGAACGGGGATAATGAAATGCAACATAGTTCATGTACTAATTTAAAAAAATGATTTTTTTTTCTTTAAACTGGTGGCTCAAATCCAGTGTGTATCGTCTGACCGGGCGGTAGCACCGCAGGGATAACAGGACGCAGTGTCGGGGGGAAAAATGTCCTGGGCCGATCCATGTTGGGTTTGTTGAGTGTGAAAAGCGTTTGTGATGTTCTGTGCTCTGTCTTTCCTTGCTCTTGACCCTTTGGCCCATTGCTTGTGTGCTCCAGAAGGTGAAGAAGGGAAGGACTCCATCGTGCTGAGGTGGCACTTCTCAGTCCGTCCTGGGAAAAAAGACCTTATCAAAACCCAGCAAATGCGTCCCTGTCCGGCTGAGCTGTGATAGGCGGGGCGTGAAGAAGAAAGTGGGAAGATTTAAGGAGACAGCTCCTGTTCCGTTGCATCTGGGGTGGCTGAAGGACACTAAGGATGAGGTTATTGGTTGCTGATGGGTTTTAGTGACGAACAGAGAGGAGGTCGTAGGAGAGAACAAAGGGATACTTCTCGGCCCTGCAGGAAGGTCTCAGACCAGTGTCCCAGGTTGGGCCTTGTCTTTTCCGTACCACTGCACATCTGCCAGCTCCGAACACAGGGGGCTGCTGAGAAAACAGCTGTCACTAAAAGACCTGCAGAAAAAGACACAAACGTGTCACTGACAGCATTTCATTTCCACAACTTTCAAAATAAGACGTCTAAATGCTGCTGAGCCTTTATGTTAAAAATGTTGCACAACAGTGGCTTGTTAAGTGTTTTTATTAGTTAATCCTGAAAGGAGTGAACTGTGAAGCATCAGTCAGAACACAGCTGTGCACATGCAAAGATCAGACCCTAACAGATGCAGAGAGACACACATACACCACCAGAGGAAGAAATACAAAGAACCTTTTCCATCATCACCACATAAAACTTACTATTACTATCACTTCCTGTTTACAGGACTTGTCTGTTTACTAAGATGCTATATGTTTATTTATTTTCTGCCAAAATGTTATTATGCTGCTGCTACTTTTTTGCCAACATCACTACAATATAACTTTAGACCAACAGGAGTTTGAGACCACTGGCGGTACCTCTATGCATCAGAGCTGGGCTGAGGGGGAGACTGACAGACGTCCTCAGTAGGAAAGCTGTCTCCTGTGCCTCTAAACCAAGAGAGAGGACACACACAGAAGGAAAGGAGGGTTAGTAAAGACAGGAAGACAAACGGGAAAGAAATGCCAAATAGCTGCCAAATAGTGAGCGATTTTGTTCGGAAGGAAAAGAACAACAAGCAGCTGCGTGAGATGAAAGAACAGAGAAGAGACACGAGTAAAACATTAGGAACACAAACTGGAAACATAAAAACGATTACATTCTAAAGAACCACAAAATCACACACAGACACCGAGGATGAGTTCAGTGATGAAAAGAGAACAGACGATCAAAGCTCATGAGTTAAGACGGAGGTTTGAACCAATCAGTGGGGCAGGCAGCTGAGGCAAGTCTTTTTGTACCCTCCGCTGCTGCTGTGTGTGCGTTTCTTACCCGTTCTTCCAGTTGAGGATGTGCTGTGGGCTGCAGGGGGGTGTGGGGGTGGCTGGGTGCTCGCTGGAGGGGGTCAGGCTCCTCTGACTGTGAGGGGACGCAGCTGAAAGGAGAAATGATAGTTAGTCAAAGAAAATTATTTCTCACATGTAGAGTTAAGCGCTCTGTGAGACAAAAAAAATGCTTTTGCTTCAGAGGTCAATAAAGTCCCAAACAGTTAAGCTAACCTTATTGGTGCAACATAACGCACTTCAGTCACATTATTAAAATTACAAATCCTAAATCAAAAATTAAAAAAAGAAAAAATAAATAAAAAAAACACGTGGCTTTCAACTTTTATCTGTTGTCGTAATGGACTCTCAGCTTTGCTTAATCTGGTTCCCATTGTTAAAATCTCCTCTCTGTTCAGGCTGTTTCCTTCCAGGGTGAAACTCTATCAACACTTTTGTGTTGCAGCTTTATCAAAGCGCTCCATTAGAGTTTATTTAACAAAACATTTTAATCTTTTTTTCTTTCATCACAAATTTTTGGTTTTGCAAACTGATTCATCTCCACTGAGAAATCCCCGGTACAAACACTTCCACAGAGTGTTTTTTTTTTTTCTAAATTTGCTCTGAGGACTTTTTATTGGAGGATCATTATTTAAAACTACACACAGGCTGTGACTTTCACACAGCATGTAACGTCATCACAATGTTTGAATCAGCTGCTGTTTAACTCATACAGATTTTAGTGAGAATAGTTGGGGCTTTACCTGGTGAACACTTGGCGAGTGTTCCTACTCTAGTCCCTCGACCATGTCCCAGAGTTCCTTGCTGCGACCCAGACTCAGAGGATGTGGACCCCGAATGTGAGTGATTCCTTTCCTTCAGGCTTCCTGAAGACCTCTGGTACCAACACCGCAGCTCTTCAGACACCGCGGCCCTCCCCCCTCCTCCACCACCACCCTCTCTCCCTAACGATGGAGTCCGTACGATCTGAGACCGTGATGGCGTGAGCCGGCCACTTCCCTCGCCTCCCTCCTCTCCGCCCCAGGCCTCCTTGTACAGCCCCCCGGCCGTGTAAGAGCTGGAGGTCTTGAACTGAGCCTTGACGCTGTAATGGCCCTCCTGGTCGCTCTCCAGGCTGCGTACCACCACAGCGTTGGTGCTGCCTTCCACGTACAGAGGGTACTCCTTGATGCGGTACTGGGAGGAGGGCTGGCTCTGGCTGTGGAGGTAGACTCCGTGGTGCCCACCTCCTGTCCCACCTCCATTTGAGCCTCCAACAGAGCCGTTTTTAGCTGCCAGGTTTGGCATAGAGCCAGAATTAGAGGAACCTAAGTTACCTGCAGACCTGTAGAAGAAATAGACATTCACTCATTAAGCTCACGATGTTTCTGTTTAATGATACTCTTTTCAAATCAATTGAAAAGATAGAAAAGGCGAGCAGGCCCGGCACTCACCTGTGCCTTTGTCTCTGCCTCTGCCTTGCTTTAGAGGGCGAGTCTTCTCCCAGAGTAGAGTAGTTGGGATTACTGCCTGGGGGTCCACCGGAGGGGCAGTAATGCTCCGAGCTGCTTTGGCTGGTGCAGGATGAACAGTCATCCAAAGGGTCAGAGCCGTTGGAGCCTCGTCCCGGGCCGAGGAAGAAGTCCGGACTGCCCAGAGTGTGCGGGTGTGCGTCCGAATCAGACGCCAGCAGTTTGCCCTGAGACTCAAGGCTGGAGCTGCGGTTCCTAAAGTGCTGAGAGAGACTGTGCAGACGGGTGGGACTGATGTCCACTGACCTGTGGTATGAAGAAACAAAACAAAACAAAAAACTAAACTGAATCATTTCACTTTCATTTACAGCCTTTTAACTTAAAGGGATCCTCGATTAGTTGTAACATTAGACTTTATTTGATAAACATTTATTTTAACTGTAAAATAAAGACTGTAAAAATACTGTAGGCTGTTTAGTTTTGCAAATTTTTAAAAATTTATTTTAACACGGACGGAGCCATTTTATTTACACACAAAGCATTCTGGGTAAATGATGATGTGGATAGGACCTCGGTGTGAGCGAGCTATGTCCACCCTGAAGGTTAATCTTGGACAATATCTGATGATTGTCTCTTTAAATGAAACCAGAGAGCGTTGACAGAGAGGAGAAGGTAGAAATGACTCAGCCTGTAACTGAAAATATAGATGGAGGACAACAGAGCTGCTTCATGGAATTAGAACCTCAGCTTAGCCTGTTAGCCTTCGCACTAGCGCTGACACTATATTGCCTTATATGTATTAGCTCGGTGCTAGCGCAACAAACTAACAAGCTAAACTGAGGTCCTCCATCCATATTTTCAGTTGCAGTCTGAGTCATTTCAATGTTCCCCTCTCTGTCATGTGGAGTACTTCAGTGACGAGAGGAGAATGTGTAGCGCTGAGCTAATACATATATATGGTGATAGCGTCTGGGCTAACGCTAAAGCTAACAGGCTAAGCTGAGGTTCTTCTTCCATGAAGCAGCTCTGTTGTCCTCCATTTATATTTTCAGTTACAGGCTGAGTTGTTTCTACCTTCTCCTCTCTGTCAACGCTCTCTGGTTTCATTTAAAAGAGGTAATCATCAGATATTGTCCAAGATTAACCTTCAGGGTGGAGCAGCCTCACACCGAGGACCTATCCACATCATCATTTACCCAGAATGCTTTGCGTGTAAATAAAATGGCCCCGTCCATGTAATTTATTTTTAAATTTTAATTTAAAAATTATAAAAACTAAACAGCCTATAGTATTTTTACAGTCTTTATTTTACAGTTAAAATATATGTTTATCAAATAAAGTCTAATGTTACAACTAATCATGGATCCCTTTAAAAATGATTCCTTATTTGAGTGAGTGGATAATGCTTTCTGGTTAATCAGTGAATGAAATCAGTGGCTGACCTGGTGGAATGTACATAGTGTGGCGTTCTAGTTCTCAGGTCCGGTGTTGAGGGCATGCTGGACTGAGAGTTCCACTGAGGCATGTTCTTGTTAGGACTGCTCTGAAGAGAATTACTACCTCCTGCTTCGGCACTGCCAGAACTTGGAAATCGCCTGTGACTAAACAGAGTTACATTTATATTTAAAGGTCACTGCCTTTTTGCAGAAGGGTGTGTCGTGTTTCATTATCAATAAAATAACTACTGTAAGACACCTCCTCTTTAACGTCCATGTGCAGTTTGGGTGGAAATGAGCATTTGAGGAGAAGTCAAAAGAAACGTTCACACACCTGGAGTGAGATGAGCGCTTCTTCACTTTTTCATAAGGCTCATCCAGTGACGACTCGCTCCACATTTTGGGTTTGATGGGAGACTTGTCATAGTCAGAGCGTGTGTAGTGCATGTGTCGCAGGCCGTCCAGCGACTGAGGAGGAGGAGGCCGGCTATGAGACGGTGGACGTGGAGGGAGGCCTTTATGAGGCGATGCTACAGGAGAGAAGGTTGGGGTACCGGTAACTTGAGGATCATCTGAAAAAGAATCAGTGAATCAAGTCAGAGGAAGTGGTTCAAACTGAATAAAATGATTAATGATCTCAGAAAAAGAAAAAAAAAAACAGGTATTTACCGTCATCTAAAACGAGCGCATCAGACAATGAGCTGTCTTCAGAGCATATATTAGCTTCTGAAAAAGAAAAAACAAAAGCAAGAATTATAAAATGTTATCAAAACAAATCAAATTGCAGACTATTACTCTTTAATCTGTATCCTAGAAAAATACTTATACATTGTACCTTCAATGATAAGCGATGCTCTCTGCGTTGGCTTCTTGCCGGAGCGGACCCGATACTCGTTGATAGAGTTCTCAATTTCCTGGAGCTTCTTCAGTGCATTCAGATAAGAGGTCTTCCGCTGTTTCTTCAGCTTCTTGCTGCTCACGTGAGGATCACTGGCGAGACGCCTGGCTGCCTCCGTGATCTGCGACTGAATGGCGAACTCCCGCTCCAACCGCTCCAGCTCCTCTTCCTGGTGAACACACAAACACGGGTGAAAATAGCGCAAAGTTGCTGGTTCCTTTCAGTGTTGTAGCGACAGAGAGCAATGACCAATCCAAGAACAACAAGGGCTAGTTTGCAGACACGAACTCATACTCACTCTCCCATGCCTCATTTTTTGGTAAGACACACAAGGAAAGAAAGACCTGCCAGACAAAACACGCTGCGGAAATCATTTATCTGTGCTGTGGCTGTGCTTTTTCTCACCACCGGACTGTCTCTATTTGGAAACCCGTGTCCCCAAAGATTAAAGCTCCAGCATCAATCCATCCCCTCCTACACTATGGCTCTATAGAGATTTGTGGAGCAGAGCAGGTTGACCAAGTAAAACATGAAAGTAGAACACAAAACTATCCTCCAAGAATGTGAGAAGAGGGAAGGAAATAATTTATGGATGACCTGTGACACAGACTATTTACAGCTGGAAGGTAATTAGTCCTCTCACATCTGAGAGAAAATCCACGTGAATCCATTTGACCCCACAGAGACAGTCGACGATGTCTTCCATTGGGTTGACCTAATATTAGACTACCTCAGTTCAGAGGAATCTCTTTCACCAACACCGGCTGTGCACCTCCTGCATGAGCAACGTCTGTTTCTGTGTGCAGAGTTGAAAGTGCTCAGCGTAAATTAAGAAACATCTTTCTGCAAGCAAAGTGGTTTTTGTGATATTGTGCGTCTGGATTCCTTTCAAAGCACACAACCTCGGTGATACACACATACGCACACATTCACAAGCACGTACAATCCTACTATCACCACTTCCTGTGGTGAAAACGCTGCCAGACTAAATTTAGAAGCTCGGCTCTGCTGGAAAAATCTACCCGTGGCACAAAAAGGCAGCAAGACGTGAAAATAAGTAGAGCTTCTTTGAGGCACAAGATGTCTCAGAGTGCAATCTTTTTACTGTAACGTTCTCTGCTTAGAAACTAAACTTTATTTGTGTGAATCAGCACAGCAGTTTTTAATGCATTCATTGTGATATTGTGCTTTCATGTTTTTTTGTTGTGTGGATAACAGATTTGAAAGTAAGGAGAATAGTTGAGCTTTTACCTCTCCTTTAGGAAGAATTTTTTGCTCATCCAGTTTGAAGGCGGTGCCAATCTTCCGCCTCACTGTGGGTGGCTCTTCCCCCGGATCCAGAGGATATTCTTTGGGAAGCTTTCCTGTTAGTTCCTGGAAAATATAAGAGACAAGCCACTTAAAAATTAGAACAAGAGAGCTAGAAAGCATTTCAAAATATGTGCCAGTGTTGGAAAAGTCCTCTCGTACCGCCTCTCTGATACAGATGCTCTTGAGCTCCTCTAGTCTCTGTCTTAGAGTTTCCTCCAGAGCTTCCTGCCTGGCTCTCAAAGCTGCCAACATGTCCTTCTTAGCAGTTTGGGAGCTGTCTGATTCCTGAGAGCCTGCAGGGCACAAGCGACACAACACATAAGGCCAGGAGTCTGGAGCAAACTTGTGAGTCAGATTCAGGGAAGGATAAACTGTGTGTGCACCTGCTAGCTTTACAGGATGTTTACATGAAGCCAATGGAACATTTTGATAAGGAAACTGAGTTTTAGTGCTGTGTTTGTGCGAGCAACATGAGTGTTTGGAGCGTAGGGCAGTTTGGGACAAAGTCTGTGACGCACATTTCCAAGACCCTGAGATGCTGCCACTCTTGTTTGTAATGTGCTTTGTTGAAAACACCACACACACACATGCATATAAGACACACAAACACACACAGACTGTTTTTCTCTGTCACTTCCCCATTGTGGTTGACTGTGTGGTTGAACTTTCAAACAATCCTTAAGTAACCACTGCTGAAAATCTTTGGTCACAGAGAAACCAATAAGAGTGCTTTAGTGTTGCAAGATGCTCCACATGAAGGTTCAAAGATTCTAATAATGAACTATGTGGAGCTCAAAACAGCTACAAACACTTCTGTTTGGAGTTTACCCTTCTAGAGCAGACAAACTTTTCCTAAACCTAATTTTCAGGCTTGAAGGGGGAAAAAAACAAGGAGAAACTTTCAAGCTCAGCCCAGCTTTCAACAGTCAAGCAGAAACGCTACTAGTAACAGTTTCTGTGACAAGTTTATGCTGCAGTTAACAGTGAAAATCATTATTTCTTTGACCATGAAGCACAAAGAAAAGTGAAAACAACAGATAAGACGAAGCCACGCTGATATAAAACAGGAACTAAACTGAGGATCATCAGAAACTGTGAAAGTGGAGATGAGGAACTGTGAGAAAAAAAACGAAAAGAAGGAAAATAACAGGAATTCTGTGCAGTATTTTGCTCAGCATTTTCTTATTTCAATTAAGAGGTTTAAATATACTCATTACACTTGTCTTGAAATACAACCTGAGCACCAACCAATCATTTTACTACACTTGTATTTCTTCTCAGCATTGAAATGTCTGTCTGGGACAAAAAGAGTGTTTTCTTTTCAATTCTAATTTTGGTTTAAATACAAATGTTCTCGTCACACTCATTGATTGCTCAACACAGATAAGCATTGTTTTAAAGACCATGGTGAAATCTGCACACCCACAGCTGCCTTCCATTCCTTCACCCACTAAATTTAGGAGGCGGGGGAGCCTATGGGGGATGATTCTGTGTGACATAGAGGGTGGGAGTGGTGTCCTGTACGTACTGACTGACACTGGGTGGTGTGAGGGTGTACATTATGTGGGAGAGCGTTCAATAGAGAATGAGTAGTCTCTTTCCTGCAGCAGCTGTTTCTGTCTCTCCAAACCTCCTCATTGACAGCACAGCATGCGTGTTCCTTCCACACACACTCACACTGACCTGAGGAGAGTAGACTTCCACTGCTGCCACTGATAATCTTGCCCTTGCTGCCCATGTTGGCCAGTTTGGATGTCTTCAAAGTTCCAGTTTCAGTGAGGTCTATGGCAATCTCGCTCAAACTCCTCGCTGCATGGATCTTTGACTGAGAGGATCAGAGAAACAAGAGTTTGTCAAATCTTTTTTTAAGCTACCTAATTAGCTTAAACATACCCCTTGTTTATTTTTACCCAGACCTGCTGTTGCTTTTGATTTTATATTTTGTGAGAAAGACCAACCTTGCTCTGCTTGCGGTCCAGGTAGAACTGATGTTGGCTGATAGCCATGGCCCAGATGGACTTGATGAGGGCAGGACAGGCGTACCAGGTGTGCACAGCAATGCCACTGTGGCCAAATGTCCTTCTTGTTACCGACGCCCTACTGTAGGATCAGACACAAAGCCTTCTTATATATACTGAATACAAACGGTCTACTGAAAAAGACAAAAAAATGATGATTAAAAAGTTGCTTTTTCATATCGCCGCACACAATGTTCCGATTTGTTTACTTGTCCTTTTTTAAACAGCTATGTGTACCGGAGCAGCAGAGCAGCTCCCTCTAATGACAACTTCCTTTAAAGAAAACACCACTGCTCCCTGTTTCACCCTGTCTGTCTCTTTTTGTCCTTTCCCTCCCTCTGTGTGCCTGTAGAATAACACTCCATATATATAGCTATGTTAAGTAAACACAAGAGAGGTCAGTTTCTCAGCAAAATGTCTGTCACGCAGCCATCAGTTATCGGTTTACTCTTTGTGTATGTGAATATGTATGTGATCAAAAACACATGTTTATTATTGCAAGAACTATAAATCTGACTTACATCCCTAATATCCTGCCATGCTGCCAAGACAAACTTTCCTCCCTTGACCAAAGTAGATTGCAAGTTGTCTTTTCCTCCTCTGCACAATATGACTTTAAATGTATTCCATTTTGGCAGGATGGGAATTTACATTAAAGGTGACTAAGAGTTATCATACTATTTTCACTAACATACTAGAACTGGTATGAGACAATAGTCTAACTAGCAATTAAAAAATCATTCGTGCTGAAACAATAGAAACATCTGTATTAGTAACTAACATTAGTTTTAGCTTGTAATATAAATTTACCTTCTGGGGTCATGAACTTCCACAGAGAACTTCTTCTCTCTGAAGTAGAGGTTCTCCAGCTGACGCCATTGAAACACCTGAGATTTAAGAGAAACAGACGGTCTTCAGGAAAGCTCAAAGGGGAAAAAAAACCTGCTTCTCATTAAATCCACAAAAACCCGATCTCTTGGCTGAATGCTTCAATTTGTTTGACTAGGATACGCAAAGAAAACAGAAGACCGGGGAGAAAAAGACATTCTGATAAAAATGTTTTGTTAAGGGCAGAAAGACGAGACCTAATCTGGAGGTCTATGTATGATCAGGTCCAGACCAAAGCAGTCTTTTCACAATGAATCCCAGGACTGGATGACCTCACTTTGGAGAAAGACAGCGTGAGCGGAAGAAGGCTTGACTTTTCTTTTTTTCTCTCTCTCTCTCTCTCTCTCTTCCGTCTCCTTCACGAACCATCAGCTTCTCTGTAAAATAAAGCCGCAGCCAGCTGGGCAAGAAAGTTTCCTTTAAGACGTCCTTCGCAGCCGGTGTGTGTGTTCAATCCTCCCGGGCGAAAAGGGAACAGAAAGGTTTGAGGTGGTGGGTGTCCACCATCTGGAGTCATGTGGATGTGTCGATGCAGAGAAAGTGTGTAAAGTTAAGTTTCCTCCTCTCCTGGAGATTTGCTGGGAGGGCTTTGAGGAGAGGGGGAGTGACCCCTCCTCTCTCCCTCAGGAATTGCGTGTTGTGCTCCAGGCTGCAGTTGGGAGGTGTGTGTGTGTGTGTGTGTGTGTGTGTGTGTGTGTGTGTGTGTGTGTGTGTGTGTGTGTG